CAAATCTTGCCCACGACATCAATGTTGAACTCAAAATGGTTCGCCGAGATATAGTGCCAATGCTATTACGTTGCTTGAGTTTACGAGATTCAGCAGAACTTACCCTGGCCACGGTTCAGTTTCTGCTAAAACTGAGTATATTTGAGGAGAATAAGACTGCTATGGTCAGTTTTTGTGCTTAAAATAGCTGTTGTTTTGCAATGACTTTGTTGGACCCCCCTCCCCCAAAATCATATGCTGTATGTATGTAATTTTAATTGTGAAATTCCAGGAACAAGGCGATATAATTGGCAAGCTGCTGCAGTTATTTCCAATTGGAGATGTTGAATTACGTAAGGCCACTATACGCCTACTATTTAACCTATCATTCGATGCGAAATCTCGCCGAAGAATGGTTTCCGAAGGTCTTGTCGCCCATGTCGCACCTCTTATCGAAAGTGATTTTCTTTCTTGATTTGTGATTTTTTTGTTAAACTTTTCTGGATTGTTACATTTCGGTCCCACCTAGCCGAAAAGTGCCACGTGGTGGCGCGACGGTGTTCGCTCTTCTATACTCTCACTGGGATAGTAAGCTCATTTTCTGCCCTGGTTCAGTTTAGGGAGCGGACCCCGTCGCGCGCCCAGCGCAGGGTGGCGAGCTTAATTTCGACGCCGCCGTTCTCCTTAAACTGCAGTAGTGCCAATATCCCCTAAAAGTCTGATGACTTTGTGAAGTGAAAAGTTTAGGTGATGCCAAGGCGCTGAATCTTCTATACCAGTTAAGCGTAAACGACGATGCTAAAGCCATGTTGACGTTTACTGATGCAATGCAGTTGGTGAGCTTCTAGTCTTTTAATTGGAGACCCTAGAGCGAGTTCATAGTTTGCGATCCGATCGTCTGGATCGCAGGGCCGGATCGCTCGAGCGATCGAATCGCGAAGTATGAACGCGCTTAATACTGAAACTTTTGCAGCTCATGCGCGACCTTCTGACTGGAAACGGTAGCGAAGCAACAAAAGCAGTTTTGCTGAATGCTTGCGCAGAGAAAAGGAATGCACAACTCGTATGTGGCCATGACGGACAAGGGTATGTGCGTTCGTTTCGCATTATCATAACTCTTGTTCAGTCCTGATATTTCTGTCTTCTGCTCTATAATTTTTTTGGAAAGTTCTTTTTTGTCTTATTTTTTGTTCTTAGGCTACGTTTGTTGATGGACGCTGCAATTGACGGACGTGACTTGATGGTGGCAAAGATTGTTCGGAGTATTGCTAGTCATGAAGGACCTACACAAGATATGTTTGTGGTGAGTTCTAAGGTCGCTCAAGTATTTAAGAACTGTACCAGTAACATTCGGCTCTACTCAGTCTTTGAGACCCTAGAATCTTAGGAATATATAGGCAGTAGGCATATATGACTCAGCATTTTTTCTCACCTCAATAGTTGCAAGCCTACACTTTAGGGTAGTGCAGGGTCCTGATCACGAATTATACTTCGTTCTTGGCAGCCGCGTTAAAAAACGTGGAAATTTCATCGACTTAATGTTATGGTTAGCACACTAGCCTCGCAGGTCACTTGTAAGTTCGAAGCCAGACTGTGGTCAAGTCTGTTGCACATGATCTAGCAGTCTTCTGATTACTCATGTCATTCTGTGATCAGAACTCACGATGAGCTTCCAGAGCTCTATGAGGGTTCTGGTGAAAAGGGAAAACGGCCAGAAATTCATGTTATGTTCGTAGTCAGGCCGTCAAATAAGGACCACAGATGTGTATACAGCAGTAAATTGAAATCCGGGCTTGCCAAAGTTGAAGAAAACCCGGGGTTTATTCTTTGATTATCCAGAGCTCGATGCCCAGACTTCTCGAGGCAGGAATGAAGAACGCCCTCCTGCCAGAGGACGAGAACGCAGCTTTGGGTTTGGAGTTTATTGGAACCGCAGCCTTAATAAAAGTGGCAGATTGGAGCAGGTTAGTCACAAAAGGCCACAACTGTAGAGTTTCTCAATATACAACGATCTTGTTTAGCTTGAGCACCTCATATGATCTCGTAAGCTGGATAGGCGAAAGGCTGAAGGCTACTGGTGGTGAAAACGAACCTCTGCAACTGCAGGTAATTTTTCCCATCAGTTAGAGCCATGTACTACATTTGCCTTCGAGGAGATCCATTACCTTGAATAGTATAGTCATCTGAATGCTATGAGTTTTTGCCATTCGACAAACTCTTCCCCGAAAACGCGCTGGGATCTACTCCTCGCGCGGGAAGTGTAGCGTACGGTTCATGATGAGTTGAGCTGTTCGGTTCGGCGGGGGCATTTCGCACTTTCACCAGCTAATTTTGTTGGTTCACCTTAACTAGCAGGTTTCACTTAAGTCATACCGTGAACTCCTGTGAAGGTGCGAGTGCGCTACTTCACTCACACGAGTTTACAGGTCCCCAAAAGGTAGCCTGTGCAAGTTTCGCTGAATATGATTCGGTGCCCCCACCAAGCCGAATTGCGCTATGAATCGTTCCAAAATAGCCTACCTATGATTTGTAGCTGGTGATAATGTGTGGTACGATGGCCAGACAAGTCGATGCAGCAAGGAACTTAGTTCCGCTACTGGAGGTGTTTCTTCAACTACTTCACAGTAAGCTGGTTTCTAACATTCGTTTTCGCCCTTTGTCACGACATAGGCTCTGGCGTTCTGAATTATCGCCGGTATTGATATGTTCCAATGTTATGTTACAGCAATGCAAGAAGATGACGAGTTTGTGGCTCAATTACTGTATCTTTTCCTTCAACTGCTACGTCATCGTGAATTAGCCAGTCGTCTGATGGGTCCTGACTCCGCTCTTGGTGCTTATGTAATCGACCTTATGCACGATAAAAATCCTGCGATCCGTGAAATGTGTGACAATGCCTTGGTCATTATTGGGGTCAGTTTAGCACTATTCACCTGTTTCACTATTTGCCCGCTTGTGCAGTCACTCATCGCTTCAGGAGCACTCCCAAGAGTGGGCTCGTCGTATTGCTGGAGAGCGATTTCGTTGGCACAACGCTCAATGGCTTGATACTGTTGAAGGTGGCGTGGCTTTGGATGAAGGAGCTGTCATGGACGACGACTATGTTCCAGGCATGCTGTTTGATGATCAGTTCGATGACGGTTTTGACTTGGCCAATGATGAACCGCTTTATTAGTAGTTATACTGTCTAGCAAGCAGATTTTTTCGATGTGGTTGCGTGATTGATCTCGATTTCTTCCTTCTAGTCACGTGTGTATTCTTTCTTTCATACTGCACGTATCGATCTAATCGCTTTAATAATTTAATCTGACTACGTTAAGAAAAGCTAAAAATTACGTATATTTGCGCTCGAACGAATTATTTTACTGCAAACATTGAATGTACATAATTTAAAGTTGATCTCCTGTGTATCTACATCCTGTTTCAGTCTAGTTCGAAGTAGTCGCTACTGAGTGTTCGATAAATTCTTTTATTCACTGTTTGTTTCTGGTACTTTTTGAACAGTAACCAAACTGTTCATATCTTCAACCACCAAAGCCTTGTGGTATCTGATAATATCAAATAAGTAACCATTTTATAGATGGGTATTGCCTGGTTGTGGGAGTCAGCTCGCCATAAGCAGGTGGTGTTCTCAAGCTCTTTGGTTTCAGTTGGTTTTTGTAGTGCGATAATCCATGAAGGAAGCGTAGTTTCGTATTTACAGGGTGAACGAGGCCTTGCTGCGGCTGGAGCATGTCTATTCTGTGTCATTGTTCTAGGGTACTGCGTGTCAGTTAGTCACTCAATAGGTATTTATTTCTGTTCTTTTGCATTGGTCCCCTACTTTTTTTAATACATAGCAAATATACGGAAATATGAAAGTCACGCAATTGGCTAAAATCGTTGAGTATGCGTGCATGATGAAATCAATCTGAGGGTTTGTAGTCTTGCAAGCATAAGCTGTGGGCTATGAGGGGAGACGGGCAAGAGAATCGTGATTTGCCGCTCCGCCGCGCGCGGCGTTTTCTTAACTCGTGTTAACCTGTCGATTGGAGCACCGGACTTCATGTAGACCCCGTCATCGTAGACATTCATGACTATTTTCGGTTCTGAATTGCCTGTTGTCGCCATCTACTACTCGTCATTTGCGGGCGCGACGTCGCGCGCGACGCTCACCAGCGCGAGCGTCGTCACATACCCTGTATTACGATTCCCATGACACATGCCCGATCATGAGGGTAGAGTTTCAATAACTTATGTAAATGAAAGATTTATCAGGAAAGTTCTGAATATAGGCCTGTTCGCATAATTCAGTTCTGATCATCATACAATTCTGACTTGATGCGGGTGAATCCTTTCCGTTTCGCTTTTTTCTTCTTCTTCTTAGAAGCTGTTTTAGTACATCTCATATTAATGAAGAATTAAGAATATGTTTGGTTTTTTTTCCAAAAGTTCTATTTCTACAAGTCTCTTTCCAGTTTTAATGTCTGCTATGTGGATTTCAATATTTGCACTGTGCTCACTTCTTTCTGCTCTCTACTCGATGACGATCACTCATAAACCCATGGAGAAATTCAGCTACGGCCTCGCACGAGTACCTGTTCTAGCAGTCTTTAGCACTACTGTAAGTATGCTGTTCAGTTTTACATCCATAGGAGAAAATCCAACATGTTTTTTCAAGGTGCTTGCGCAGTTGTTTTCTATCTTCTTATCAAAAGAATCTTTCGAACATCTACTTTCCCCTGGTCATCAAGGGACACATGACGCATCGGCAGCACACGAGCATGAACTGGAAGCTGTTGGTGAGTAAATCACAGTTTGTATAACAAAACTCATACGTAGGGTACTCATATTTAACTTGATTTTCTCGTTAGCGATCAATAGCCATGCCATATACTTTGCGGTTAGACTGGCTGCCAAGCTCAAACATTTCTTGTTTCTCTGATTCTTGTCAGATTTCGATATGTTCCTACCCTCCTGCTGTACATTATAAGGGGCAGTGGCGAGATAGAGAAACACTATAGGTGGTAAAGGTTAGTGATCGCAGAGCAGGCTAGATGTTGTGAACGAGGCTAAAGGGTGTGAAAGCCGTATAGGGGATGCTTGGCAGTGAGTCAGGCTTAACAGCGATGCTTTTGAGTTGTTGTTTTTTTGATAACTGCTGTTTATTGCCGCATGTGCGCGATCGAAAGTTATCACAAGAATGCTGAGTTGTGGCGATGTCGACGGTACAGTGATTCCGAACGCAGCCATCTTCTGGCTTACCGGGCGCTTCGTTTCCATTACGTCTACCGAGCATCTTTTGACGCTCGGTCCTCAATGGCTATTTGTGGCATTGAGTGAAACGATATCGCTTAACCGCTCCACGTTGAACGTTGAGACTCGACAGCATAGCACAAAACTAGCTTATTGAGTCTGTCGAGGTCAAAATCGGGCCCCGGTAGCGGTAGCAAGGGAACCGCGAAATGCCCGCAAACGCAAAAGCAGGAAGATGCGGTTCGACATCGCTGTTGCGTGGTCGCACTTTTTGCCCTAACTAAGGCTCAGATTCTAGTGATAACTTGCACAGGTGTTTTCTGGATAACGTCGCGCGGTGCAAGATTGTATAGTCCTGGTTATGATCGCTTTTACGCTGATATAGCGTTTGGATCAGGTATTCTCCGCTTCTGCATTTTCAGGTGAGCACAAAGGAGTGCTGGCGACCCAGAGAGATAGGCTGGCTTTGTGCTGCAGTGATAGGTTTGAGTGTTAATTAAATCCAAAAATCCAAAGACTTTCAATGAATCTCATAAAGCGTGCATTTTTTTTTCAGGAAGCTGGCCATACTTTGTGGGAGCTGTAGCATCTTCGATAGCTCTTCTACTTTCTGCTTATGCTTTGAAGAATCAGCCATTCCAGCATGTTCTGACGGCATCGAGTAGCCTCCAGGCGTGTAAGCAGGTAAATATTGAACGTTTGATTGCAACGAGCCCTATTTCGGACAAGAATAAGCAGTGGCGGAGAGTGTCGAGTTGAGCGTGTGAGTGGAGTGAGGTAGGTTTTTTAGAATGGCCGCTAGCCGAGACTAGCCATTCTAAAGCTGAGCTTGTTGGGGAAGAGTTCACTATATAAACGGGGAAGGCACACACCAGCATGCATCCCCTCCAACTGTACTGGCCCCGTTTTCTGTTACTGTACTGATATAATCAAGGGTTGACATTGTGCTAAGTCTGGGCTGATACCAGTTCAATTTGAAGGAGCATGCTGCGGATATTTGCCATGCCATCTGTTGGGCGATTCCCGGCTTGTCACGTCTTTTACTACCACGAATTAATTCAATGGTACTACTAGCCGCAGTGACAAGTACAATGCTAGTTCTCTGTGAACACTTCAGGTAAAAGAGTTTCATTTTGATTTTTCGTAAACTCAAATAAATTTCATGTTCCGCAGGCATGATTTCCCCTGGGCAGATCCAGTCTGCTGTCTTTTACTGTCGGTAGCTGTATTTTCAACAATGTGGCCTCTCTCAACTTATACTGGCATGATCCTTCTGCAGACAGCACCGCCTCACCTTCTCAATCAAATTGATAGGTATGTTCCCCAAGATATTTGACAAGTTTTTTGGCGCAGTTTGCCTTGGAGGGGGGGGGGGCAGGAGCATTTCGCACTTTAGCTACTTCCCATCGTCATGTTCATTGCTTTACATGAGATCACATGTATTCTTTACATTTGGCAAATGATCTCTGCGTACTTTGACTGGTATCACTTCGTGGCTTCACAAGATTTCATAAATTACCGCTTAATTACGGCTCAACACATTGATGGCAAGTAGAGAAAGTGCAAGGTGCCTCCACAAGCTAGTTTCCGCCTTTTTCAATGTTTGACGACCCTTGATTTACGCGCAGCCCCCTTATCTTCCCTTTTCCCTCTTTTTTGGCAATCGAATTATGATCCATTCCTGTTGTGGACTGGGCTCTACTTCTACGAGTCACGGTAATGGTATTGCAGCGGTCCGATGCTTGCTAATACACCCCACAGGGTGAAAGTGGTGTGGTCTGCTTAATAGAAATAATTGATCGGTTGATTCCAGGTGTATTTCTGAGGCGTCGACTATTGATGGCGTTCTGGAAATCCGTTCTCGTCATTT